TAAGAAAAGAGGGACGTGGATGGTGGAAGTAGTTGGACTTGGATCATTCTTCTCCATCTGCACATCAACAACACACACTCTCTTGGGGTCCTTGGAGATTGCAAAAACATAATGGCGTTGGATCAACTCCAGTACTGAATTGATTCAATTCCAGTAATTATAGATCACCTACTAAGAATCTAAGCGGGATTTATTAAATTAAAATGAACTCCTCATCGACATATTGATAGGTAACCTAAAACTGAAAATTAAGGGAATGTATCAATGGAATGGAAACTAGGAATTGTATTTCTATTCTATACATTAGGGCAAAATGAGTTCATCCCAAAGGCTTTCGAAATATTACTCAACTCCTTCAAGCACTAGGTCATATGAAATTCAAGTTTTTTTACAATGGAAATCCAATGCAGGTCCTATGAAATTGAAGGCTACAAGGGATGAAATGATAGGTGCGATCATATACGAGCATAACTACAACGGTTGTTATCCAAACTTTGCATTAAATTGAAAAATTCTTGTGTTACAAACTTTGTCAACAAGACCCCCAAAAAAGCAAATGAATGAAATGTCATGATCCTTGACCATTCTCATCCACCCTCTTGTGCATTTATTTTGCAACTTTTCTGACAGGTTTGAGCAATCAGTTATCCTTATCAAGAATTCAAGAAATAAATATGAATGAAGAGTTAGAGAGGACTTAGCACAAAAAGCTTGTGTTTTCAAGTCTCTTGGCCAAGCTTGGTGTTCCAAGCCATCCTCCACCATTGCAAGAAATGCATTATGTGTAGAACAAAGAATCAAAGACCAAGACCAAGACCAAACATTCTTGACCAAAAGACTTCTCAACATCAATGAACTGAACCTAAATTGCAAACCTAATGAATGTGTGTGACCAATTAAGAGCCCGGTTTATGCCAACTGGCTAGATTTGTTTTTTTTTTTTTTCCATGCTACCTCTTTAAAAGAGGATGGCATTGGACCCACCTCTACAAAATAAAACCAAGATATCTGCAATCACCCGCTAATCACAAGTATAAAAAGTTAAATCCAAAATTTGAGTTTATTGGTCGTTTCAAACTAACACCACGTTATTTGGCTACTCGTGCGAGTTTTGAATAGTCTTTTAAGGGAATAATAATGAGTCTGGTTGAAGCTAGCTTAAATAAATAATTTTTAAGTGTTTTGGAAAAAAAAAAGTCAAATTTGTTTGGACATTGACTTTTTTACTAGCTTATGTAGTAACTTTTTGAACCCAAAAAGACTTATTTAAGTTGATTCCAAAAATTAATTTTATGAGTTTTTCTTCCGATTTTTTAAAATTTTGTCACAAATCTCATATAACTTTTAAATTTATTATATTTATAAAATATTATTAGTGACATAAAAAATTTTGAAATTTATATTTTGAGAATTATTATACATAATCTATACATACATGCAATTATTTTTTTATTTTAACACAAAAAAAGTTCAAAATTCACTTCAAATATACTTTTTCAACTTTTTAAAAAATACCCAAACAATTTTTGAGAACTTTTTTAACTCTCAAAATTTAATAAAAAAAAAAAAAAAACAGCTCCAAGCATCCAATGTATTATGTAGAGTGCTAGGTTTCAAGTTTCTAGAACTTAACAATTAGTGGCCTCCATTACAAAATTTTTTGTTTAATGTTGTTCGGCTTAAAACAGGCCCACACGGCTTTTGAGGTGACCTTTCCTCAAAACCAGTTTAGTTTTCCCATTGAGAACGCTAGCAAAGTGGCTCTAGTCTACAGCCAAATGTACCCCCAATAAATAAGGTCTATATTTCATCATCTTTGATTTAGGATGTTCGGATCAATTTATAAATGTTTCGATTAATCTTTTCTTTGGTTCGATCAAAAATAAATTATCTACGTCGGAACTAAAATATTCTTAAAAGATAAATCATTCATGATCTAACCCTAAAATATTATCAAAATTTGAACTTAAAATATCTAAATTTATAACTCGTCTTTGTTATCATTTAAACTACCTGCTGAGTTATTGATTTGGTTTTGTATCAACCGAAATCGGTGCACACGTTTTAATGAGTAGATAAATGGAAAATTGCAACCTCTTTGGGCCCCTTTCACAATTTTTTTTTTTTTAATGGTTCCTAGATCAAAAGCATTTAAATTTAGTAAAAGATGTAAATAAAAAACTCCCAAGGGCAGACCATTCTTGTGAGAACAAAGACTAATCCAACGGAGTCTATCTTGAACTAGTCAACTCTAAAAAAAAAAAAAAAAACTACCTAGACTGTCATTTCCTAGAAAGAACGATGGGTAGATGTATGGTAAGAAATTGAAACATGAAAATCGTTTGATTAGAAGTGTCAAAATATAATACGATCCGTTAACACGATGTAAAATTAAAAAATTTGAATCTTTCTTAAGTCACTTATTTAATAAACGAGTGGACCCGACATGACACGATTAATAAACGAATCGGATATGAATAAAGTCAATCAAAAAAATATGATAGGAGTAGTTTATATACTAGTTATACACGGTTTATACACGACACAAATTTGATATGACATAATTTATTAAACATGAATTAATAAATTAATTAGATATCAGTGAAATAATTTTTAACACAAACCCGCCTTACCTATCATGTTGAACTTTTTCATTGTTCAGGTTTGTACTATTCTTTCAAAGTTGATCTTATGTAGACAAAAATACTTTTTAAAAAAAAAAACGTTACCAGTACAATGGTCTTTCCTGCATTCAACAATAGATTTTTTTTTTTTATTTCTTTTTTTCCTGCATTCAACAATTGATTATTTCTTACTACTCTAATGCACTTTTCTCCTTTTTCTAAATAGGCCCCTCCTCTACTTAAAAAAAATACCGACTCCGCCCCCACCAAGTGTAAGTGATCTCTTTTATCACAAACCAAACTGTAATCTGCCATTTTTGATTTAGTTTTCTTGCTGTTAAAAATGCTTGGGAATCACAGAGAGTTTACAGATAGTGAGACAGCCAACATCAATTAGTTGGAACGAAGCATCAGGTCCTTATCTCTCTCTCTCATTGATGACTAATTGTCATGCTTAGTCTATTGAAAGTCGTCATAACCTAGTAGTGTTAGGTTCGGCTTGACCAGTATTACTTGGAAGAAGCGTTGAACGACGGGACCCTAAAATTTCTTAACCACAACAGGAAAGATACGAACATCTAGATAATCAAGACCCTCAAAGGATAAACAATCTGGACCCTTCAACTGTTCTAAATTCTGATCAATGGATCACAACCAGGTTTCAGAGAAAGATGATGTACACTACTTACATAGCTTTCTTCAAACACAAATCCATGGCACCGATGTTAAACGACTCGAACAGCTCAGTTCGTGTTCAGCTCTTGGCTCGTTTGGGCTCGTTTAAATTGCAAAATGAATCGTACTTAACCGAGCCAATAGAATGGAACTGTCTGAATTAACAGTTGTTATCTAGACTTCACAAGACAGCACTTTCACAGCCCCGCAGTTCTTGTCTCTATTAATATGTCACATCATAAAAAACAACGATAGTTCACCTCCAAGCCTACCAGGTTTATCATTTAGCCTCAAAGTACCCACTACAAGGACTAATCAGTAGGTCTCAAGTATTCACAAAAATAGCTAAGAAGAAAATACAGAATCAACAATACAAGGAACATCGTATCAAATGTTCGAAAGTTTACAAGTTTGCTTCCACTCTTGGAACATAATTTCTTGTGAAATCTAATTCTCTTTTTTTTTTTTTTTTTCAATGAGGAGATTTGGTGCCTCAGAAAAAAGGTTTTCCACCCTTTTCACCTTTCCTTTTTCCTACTTTCTGTTCTACTTGTCGGGCAAAGTTTATTGACAAGCTACAAATATGGTAGACAGCCAAGATGCCAATGTTTATACAAAGATGATCAAAGTCCTCTTGACTAACAAAATCCCGATATGTCTGCAGTGAGTTTCTAAATCTCAATTTCTGAAAACCTATTATTTAACAATGCATGATGTTCTGCGAAGAAAAGTTGCTTGGAAATATCAAATACAGCACACACAGGGGCTTTGGACTATAAACAGCCACTGTTCAAGTGCAAGCATTGTCATAGATAATTTTGATGACTCCGAATAATGATAAGCTGGTAACATTTAGACTGACAAAAGTTGTAGAGAGTTAAAATCCTTTCATTTATGCCAAAATAACAAAATCACATGACCTCTCGACCAATAGGCAAAATTATTTTTTCGTAACTCTTTGTTTTCTTTTTCTCGGTTTTCCTCCCTTTTACAGGTTTTTTCAGTGGGGGCAAGGAGAAAAGAAAATTACAAAAGAGTACAATATGATCTAGCCAATTCCCTTTTAAGAGTTTAGAGATTGTTGCATAAAAACAGCCAAAAACATGCCATTGACAGGGTCCCAACAGAAGGATCCCAACCAAATGGAAACATTTTTCCAACTAATAAGTTCTTCTGAATTATTATCAAATGAATGCTTATCACATATCATGCTAACATTTAGCGTTGAAGAGGAACTCAGATAACATTCTGAATGGAATATTACTCGTACAGACAGTAGTGTATTAACCACATTTCCACACAAGGGACTCGGGATAGCTCCATCTAAAAGATTGGGCAAAAAAAGGTGATTATAGAAGCAAGAAGCTCAGCATATATCAAGTGTAATGCCCTGGTATAAAACAGCAACCAATGCAATTGGCACATCGGATGGGCATATGTGGCTGATTAATTTATCTAAGCAAATACGAATTGTGATAATGAAAGTTCAACAACACTCAACCCGTAGTGACGTCGGTCTGTAACCCCTCAATGTTGCCAAGTCAGTTACTCACGCAATCAGGTCAATGGAAAGGCATGAGCTGTCACTATATTGAGCCTTGCAAATTGGTAAATTTTCATGACAGACTGTCTTCCAAAAGAAAAATGAACCAATATTAGGTTTTCAGATTCATTAAGTTGCATTACTCTCTTTTTCTATAGTTGGGCACTAAATTTGGTGCTTGATCCCTCTAATCAAGTTTGACTATTGTTGAAGTTCAAGCACAGAGCATACTTATCAAAAGACTACTAAAAAGGAAACGAGGCAGTGTAAAAATGAAAGACGACAATGGAAGACTCATTTCCCAGTTAATTGAGGTTAAACGATAACACTTATCAAGCAAAGTCTCTGTACCAAAAACAATCAGAAACACCATCAAGGATATGAACTTCAAAAGTGAAGCCAGTGCTAGTAATATATTCGTAAGTCAAGCATGTACCTGAAACTTCAAACAGTAATCAACAATAATTGCATCCTAAGCTTTCTGTAATCTTCTTAATTCACAACAAATTCCAATTTAAAACATGAAACTTAGCCAAACTTAGCATCCATATCCTCATTAAAATAAACAAGAAAACCACATAATTGCCAAAAACAGATTACCACAGTAAAAATGCTGTCCAGAAAAAAATTGACGGAGACACATAAAAAAATACATAACAAATTGAAAAGAAAAAAGTACTAACCTGAAACACCTAGTTAATAAGAAGAGAGGAAGAGATGGACTGAAAGTTTTTACTGGTCCCTGCATCCTTCTCAGCATTAAAGTAGTCTTGAAGCGCCATCATCTCGACCTTACTGCATATCAAGCTCCTAATTGCCTCAGCAGTAGCCAATGCTCCAGCCACTGTTGTTATTACAGGAATCTTGTAAGCAAGAGCCATCCTCCTCAGCTTACGCCCATCAATCTGGTCAAGCTTATCACCTGAACTTGTGATAACCATCAATTGTATCTGTCCATTAGCAATCATATCACCGGCATGTGGCCGCCCTTCATGCATCTTCAGAACACACTCCACTGGAATGCCATCTAATTCAAGAACACGTGCTGTTCCAGAAGTAGAAACAATTCTAAATCCAATCCCTAGAAAGGCACGGGCAATGGTGGCAAGGTGGGGTTTGGTCAAGTCATTTAAGCTGAGGAACACAGTGCCAGAAACTGGTAGCTTCTGACCAGTTGCTATGTGGGCCTTGGCAAAAGCAATTGAAGATTCAAAGTGAATACCCATTACCTCACCAGTACTACGCATCTCAGGACCTAGAAACACATCACAACCTTGGAATTTTTCAAATGGAAGAACAACTTCCTTCACCGATACATGTCTCGGGATAACCTCTCTTGTGAAATTTATGTCATGAAGAGACATCCCGGACATGACAAGAGAAGCATACCTAGCTAAAGGGTGACCAATTGCCTTGGACACAAAAGGAACCGTACGGGATGCACGGGGGTTAGCCTCTAGCAAAAAGACATCCCCAGTAGCTGTGATTGCATACTGACAATTCATGAGGCCACACACTTTTAGCCTCTTTGCCAATTTCATAGTCCATGTCCTTATTGTGTCCAAGCATGAAGGTGAAACGTTCTGGGTGGGTATCATGCAAGCTGAGTCACCTGAATGGACCCCAGCTTGCTCTATGTGCTCCATTATCCCACCAATCACGACATTTCCATGGGAGTCTGCAAGTGCATCAATATCAATCTCTATGGCGTCCAATAAATATTTGTCAACCAAAACAGGACGTTCCGGGTCCACCTCAACAGCATTTTCAAGGTAGGTCACAAGCTTTTCATCACTATAAACAATCTCCATTGCCCGACCACCCAACACATAGGAAGGCCGGACAACAACTGGGTATCCTATGTCTGCTGCAATGGCAAGAGCATCTGCATCACTCTTTGCAATGCCTCCTTTTGGCTGCTCAATTTTTAGTTCCTTCAGGATTGCATTGAATCTCTCCCTGTCCTCAGCAGCATCAATGGAATCCGGTGATGTACCCCAAATGCGAACATACCCAATTCCACTGCTACAATTAGGCTTGTGCTCGTCTAAGTACTGCTGAATCGGAAGGGCCAGTTTCAGCGGCGTTTGACCTCCAAACTGCACAATGATGCCATCAGGTCTTTCCAAGTCAATGACGTTAAAAACATCTTCAACTGTAAGAGGTTCAAAGTAGAGACGATCACTTGTGTCATAGTCCGTAGACACTGTCTCAGGGTTCGAATTCATCATGATTGTTTCATAGTTTGCATCCTACAAACAAAAATCAAATGAAGGAATCAAAGGTAATGCATAAATGAGAACAATCCTAAGTAAAACTATGAGAGAGCAAAAACTTAATGTACAATTGGGAGAACATACCTATATTCCTTAAATTTCACCGAACCGTATGTTTGGCAGAAATTTTTGTTTAATTACTTCCTTTTTTTTTTCCCTATTTTGTATAATCGTGCATGATGCTCCTTGACAGGCCTCAAGTGTTTTAAACTTTTAAAAAAAAAAAAAGAAAGAAATATTTACAAGAGAATCCAAGGTACAAGTGCTTCTAGCATTTGAATCGGTCGACAAACCTGATGAGGTCAGCTGATCACAAGAACAATGCCCTTCTCCAATGACAGATAGAGTTTTTCATGTATAAGACAACTGGAAAAGCAAGATCAGGTTCCGATAGGATTGGTTTCTAAATTTCAACTAAGATATAACATTTACTGGTTTCACAGGATCTCAAATCTACAAATACTTTCTTGGATCAACCATCTTAAAGTCCTACAATAGACATCCAATAATCGAAGTTTAGGATCATTAAACACTCAATAAATTATCTGCTTAAAAACTATCCAGCAGGTTGCCTTATCATTCAACTTTCCCATTCCTATTTATGATGCGAGTGTTGGATTTGCGATAAATGGATATGCAAATTGAGCAAAGCTAAAACATCAAAGGCCTAGAATAGACAATGAACATATGAAAGGAGGTGTAAACCTGAAGGGCGAAAGACGTATGGCAGCAGCAATAGTCGAACTCAATACCCTGACCAATCCGATTTGGCCCACCACCTAAAATCAAAACTTTTTTCCTGTGGGTGGGGGCTGATTCACATTCAGTGTCATAAGATGAGTACATGTAAGGAGTATCAGCCTCAAATTCTGCAGCGCATGTGTCAACTCGTTTATATGCTGGTTTAACACCTAAAGATAACCGCTTCGAGCGGACTTCTTTCTCACTGGATCTTGTTGCGAAAGCTATCTGCCTATCACTGAAACCTCTCTTTTTCACTTCATAAAAGTCATCCTTTGTCAAAAGAGGTAAACTCCGGGCTAAGAGGTATTGTTCCACATAGACCAGCTCCTTCAGCTGAGTAAGAAACCATCTGTCAATGTAACTAAGCTCATGAATGTCATCCACCTTCATCCCCCTCTTCAAGGCAGCATAAATAGCATGGATGCGATCTGGACTAGGGACCCGAAGGCTGTACTTTAACTGGTCCCAGTCCCAGTCTAGCTCCTTGACCTGCGCGCAACCCCATCCAGAATAGCCACATTCCAATGATCGAACTGCTTTCTGAAAAGATTCTTGGAATGTGCGGCCTACTGCCATGGATTCACCAACAGATTTCATCTGGGTTGTTAGTATCGGCTGAGATCCTGGGAATTTCTCGAATGCAAAACGGGGTATCTGCATGATAAAGATTATATCCAGTAAATAAAATGTGTAACAGGCAAAACACAGAACAAGGCAGGTATTACATGGATTTAGAAGCACAGCTTGTTGTAATAAGTCAACAATATTAATAACCAGTAGGTAGTTGTATGCAATGTATAGTATCAGACATTAATCTTCAAATATGAAGTTAAGTGATAATATTCTCTCAGTTTTGAATACTTCTTTAGAAGAAGTTGCCAATCATGAAACAGAAATGATGGGACCATCTGTCGATTTGTGGGACCCACATAAACAATATTTCAATGTCATTTTCAGAGAACAAACTTCGGGTTGTGATCCCCTCACAAATTTCCGAGATTCAAGAACAACTAAAATTTTCGCCCTTCAATTTTCTTTTAGCCAAAAGAAAAGGACACATAAATAAATAAATAAAATGGATGACAGATCAGAAGTTGTGGTTTTTCATCATATGAAGTATGAAATTGAATACAACTAAAGCTTCTCAGGTTAAAGCTCCATATCGAAACAATTCATAATCCCTGAGATGGTCCAGTGGTAGCACAAAGCAACAGAAAACTAGAGAAGAAAAATAACAATTGAATAAACACTCCTAGTACCCTTTAGGCATTACAGTATGTTGGGATTGAATCAGACAATCTCACAAGGCTTCAAAAGTTTTTTGAAATTCTTTGAACTGATCTAATGAAATTGGAAAGAATTAATGTGCATGTATTGGTTGTTCAGAAATCTCTTACACTAATTATAATTATGACTCCATAATTGGAAGCTTAAGAGTTTGGCTTGCTATCCATGGGGATGACTAAACTAGTTAGATCAAGTACACAGAAATAACAGCAAAGACCTATCCAGGGATCAACTATATGTACTGCAAGTAGGAATAGTAAACGGCATGAGGAGAAAGATGCTTGCCTTTGTTACCACATAGTCTATGGAAGGTTCAAAACTAGCCGGCGTTTTCTTTGTGATGTCATTAGGAATTTGATCCAGAGAGTAACCAATGGACAATTTTGCTGCCATCTTTGCTATTGGAAAACCAGTAGCTTTTGAGGCCAGAGCTGAAGACCTTGAAACTCTAGGATTCATCTCAATTATCATAACCTCCCCATCATTGGGATTGATAGCAAATTGAACATTTGAACCACCACATTCAACTCCAATTTCCCTTATGATAGCAATCGAGTAATCCCTAAGTCGCTGGTACTCCTTATCCGTCAAGGTCTGTGCAGGAGCCACAGTGATTGAGTCACCAGTATGGACCCCCATTGGGTCAATATTCTCAATAGAGCATATGATAACAACATTGTCTGCTAAGTCTCTCATAACCTCAAGCTCATATTCCTTCCATCCCAACAGAGATTTCTCCACCAAAACCTGTGATGTCAAGCTAGCAGCGAGACCCGACTTACAGATTGCCTCGAACTCCTCCCTATTATAACCAATCCCACCTCCAGTCCCACCTAGAGTGAATGCTGGCCTTATAATCAAAGGGAACTCCCCAATCGAATTGGCAATTTCATTGCACTCCTCTAAACTAGTCCCAATACCCGAAGGAGGCGTCTTGAGCCCAATATTCTTCATAGCTTGTTTGAACAAATCTCTATCCTCTGCCTTCTTGATAGCTTCCAGCTTTGCTCCAATCAATTCAACCCCATACTTATCTAGTGCCCCACTTTCAGCCAATGCCACGGCAAGGTTAAGTGCAGTCTGCCCACCCATGGTAGGCAATAGAGCGTCAGGCCTCTCCTTCTCGAGCACTTGTTCGATTAATTCCGGCGTCATTGGCTCAATATAAGTCCTATCCGCCATATCTGGGTCAGTCATAATGGTGGCCGGATTGGAATTAATAAGAATCACTTCATATCCCTCCTCTCTCAGTGCCTTACAAGCCTGAGTACCCGAATAATCAAACTCACAAGCTTGCCCAATAACAATAGGCCCTGCACCTAGTATCAAAATCTTCTTTAGATCTGTTCTTTTGCCCAATTTCGGCTTATTGAACACTCCTCCGTTCTCTGAATCATTGTCGGTACTACCCACCCCTCGCTCGCTTCGAATTGAGTTCACTCCAACAGAAGATTTTGCTGAATGAACAATCGATGGCCGGGATTGAAGGTTTAAAGATGATGAATTTCTTTTTGGGTTTGAGTAGAAAAAAAGGTGCAGAGAATTGGGCTTTGATAAAGAGTGCTTGGAGGGAGTGAGAGTGGACGATGATGAAACGAGCCTAGAAGAGACATTGTCACGGTGCTTCATACAATAACCCATCTCACAATCACTGTTTCCTTCAGCTTTCTTCACAGATTAACATAAACAAAGAACCAAAAAAAGCTCAGTAGTATATATAGATTACATATATGTATAGGTTTGACGAAATAAAGAAGATCACAGAGAGAGAGGGAGGAAGAAATCTGAGCTGAGGCTGTACCTTGGATGTTGAAAGAGAATAAATAATTCGGAAAACTGAAGGAATATCTCGGAGCCTTGTCGGCGTTTCGTCTGTGTATGTACCGTTGGAGCTGTGGAAATGATGATATATATAGCCGCCGCCGTTGTGGCTGGCGCGATGGAACACCTGACTCAGTAACGAACCCTCAAATCGATCGGATTCGAAATTATCCGACGGTTAAAATTAAAATACATGTTTATCCCTAAATTATGTATTTTGTGTCGATTTGGTCTCTAATTTTTTAATTTATGTTACTTTGATCCAATTAAAAAGGGCAGTTAGAATTTACAAACGGAGATCGTCTTTATGTATCTCACATGATCACACTTTATATGTATTTTTTGAAAATTATAGGGATTAAAATAACACAAATTATAAATTTAAATAATTAAAATAATACAAGCTATAAAATTGAGGGGCCAAAATGACCCCTCATGTATGATTATGTGAATGTCTTATTGTCTTATTCAATCCAAACGGTTATTAAGGTATTTTACCCTTATTCGAAATTATGTTTATCCGCGTATCTATAATATAAAATAGTACAAGGAAAATTTTAATCACATTCCTTGTAGTTTATCATATCTTCAAAGATATCCTTTTTAATTTTTAAATTTTCAATAACACCCCTATCAGATTAAAAATATTAAGTAGAATGTAATTTTACTAAATTATCCATGATATATTTGAGGACAAACTTCATCCACACCCCCTCTAGATAAACATATCTTCAATGAGACCCCTTTTGTTTTTTAATTTTTTTTACGTAATTAAATTCAAATCGATTAAAATTCGATTTAAGCTAATTAAAATTTATTTTTTTACATATTAAAATTTGTGCCAATTAAAAATTATATTTTTTTTACGTATTAGAATTTGGGCTAATTAAAATTTTGTTTGATCCAATTAAAAATTATTTTTAATCAACTTAAATCAAATTTTAATTCATTTGTATTGAATTTTAATCGGCCTAAATTTTAATATATAAAAATATATAAATTTTAATTGACACAAATTTTAATAAGAAAAAAATATAAATTATAATCGACTCAAAAGAGAATTTTAATCAGCCCTAACAATTCAGATAGAGTTCAAATCAGCTCAAATTTTAATATGTAAAAAAAATTTAATAAGCTTGATTTGTTTTTTAAAATTTACTAATTAGTAAATAAAAAATTATTATTTACTAACAAATTATTTACTAAAATTGTTATTTATGATTTTTTTAAAAAAATTTTAATAGCTCGAATTTTAATAAAATTTTATGTAAAAAAATTACTTGAGATTATGTAGGGGCATTTTTTATATTTTAGATGAATTTATTTTATTAGAAACAATAGTTTAATGGTAGGAGGTGTTAGTGATGTTTAAATTAAACTAGAAAGGGTGTCATTGAAGATTCAGAAACTAGAGAAAGTGTCCTTGAAGATATGGTAAACTAGAGGGGGTGTCATTGAAATTTTTTTAAAATAAATTAATTCAACAGTTTCAAATAGACTCATCTAATGGTCATCAACATTTCTCTCAAAATCATTCACATTAAATTCTTCCCTCTCCAAATTTATTATTTTTTACTTATGCCTTGGGTCACGAGTTACCACTAGACATACATTAAAATTAAATAATTATTTTATTAAGTTGAGTTAAAATTAAAGATAGTTGCGTTTAAGTAATTATTAAAATTGGATGGGATTTGAGTCAATTTTGAATCAGTTTTTATCTTATCTTAGATTGATTGAAGTCTATATCTTATCCGTTGACTATGACTTGTTAATCGAGCTTTGGTATTTTTGTATTTAAGTTGGCGAGTTTGTTAATTCAAATTTAATACTTAAAATAAATATATTTGACATTTATTAATTAAGTCTCTGTTTGATAATTAAAATTTAAACTCTTTTAATATATTAAGTGTTCATTAAAAATAATTTATAATATTAAATAAGAGATCTCTTACTTAACTCTTAAAATTCAAAGCACTTAGTAAAATTATTTTTAATAATATTTAACATATGACAATTATATCTTGAAATATTTTACAATCCTATTAAAATTTTAATTAGTCTTCTCTCTAAAACTCTTAACATATCTATTTTTCTTGTCGATTGTCTTTTTCAGTGACTGTTGCAAACACACATACTGCAACACACGTATACACCCACTCACACAATTCCACACATAGATACACGAATTGCACACCGACACACATACACACATATTTTTAATGTAATTTAATTTAATTTAATTTTTTAATTCAATTATTTCTTAGTGTTATTCAATTTATTATTGTTCACTTATTGTTATTCAATTATTTGTTAGTTATTATTCTTTTTTTTTATTAGATATTATTGTTTACTTATTGTGTTATTTTTTTATCAAATATTATTGTTCACTTATTATGTTATTTAATTAGTTATTGTTTGTGATTTGATTATTTATTTATTATTGTTATTTTTTTATCAAATACTATTGTTCACTTATTGTTTGTATTTTATAAATATTTTAAAATTAAAGAGTAAAACTGAAAGTTTAATTATTTTCAGACGTTAACTATGTGTAATTATCAAACAATTTGGTTTAATTCAATACTTAAATTTTAGTGGGTACCAAACAATACATAAATTCAGCATTCAATTTTCAGTTTTATCAAACACTACAATTTTGATCAAAATGGATTTAATTTGTCAAATCTAAATTCTTTTACAAGCCAAAGTTTAAGAAAGACTAAGCTCAATTTTAGAGCAATAACTTGTAGAAATTAACCACCATAACTTAATCATTAATCCTACAATAATTAATTTTTCAATAGATATTAAAGTTCTTCAGCGTACTTAAAGCATAAAATAAACATGAGAAGTTAAAAAAAAGTTCAAAAGTCAAATAAAAAAAGGAGAGAAGTGTATAATAAATAATAAAATGCGCTCCTGACTATATCCATATTTACGTACAACGCTCTTAATCTTTTTCTCTACGTCCAGTTGCTTATGCAATGATACATTTGTCTCGAGGGAACTCAATTTTTCTCCCAAACCATCGGTCCATGTAGAAACCATGGCCAACACATCAACAACTTCGTTTTGCAGCCGACTAAAGTGACCAAATTCAGTCTTTTGAAGTTGTTCTTGTGACACCTGCATCTCTTCAAACCATTGGTACAACAACTCAAGTAGCACAAAAGGGTCACAATATCAACGAACTGTGGAGGACCAACTAATTCTTCTAAACGTGTCACCCTTTCCCTCAAATTTGCATTCGTTCCGCCAGCCATGGGTCGATCTTTTTGCCAAAACTAATGCTCTAATATCAAATTGTCACGGAATAACTACTTTTTTTCTTTTGAGGCTACCTGTGAAGGCATTGCCACTGTAACTAACCACACAAACTTCAGTATAAGGACACACAAACTCACACAAAGGCAACACTCAAATTTATTGGGAAAACACTCCTAAACTTTATATTGAAGCTCTCTACAATTACAAGGACCTCAAAACAAGAACACACTCTCTCTCTTTGTGTGCATCTAAAGAATGTCCAAACACCTCTATTTAAACAAGAAGCATCATAGCAGATGACACCTCCATCTGCCAAAAGGCTGTTACAATAATCTACCTATTCTTTAGCATACTTGGTTAGTAGACTTGGTCAGCAAGGCTATTTTTTTGCGTGACACCTGATAAATAGTTTCACCCATTCAGCACCTGATGTGGAACTTCCCTTATGTGCAACACTTGGACCAGAATGTGGCTAAGAACGTCCATAACTGCCTCCCTCAGACTAGGTCTTATTTAGCAGCTACTTTGACTGAGTCATGCACCAGTAACTGACCACATCCTCCTAGTCATATGCATTGAGCAGACAACCTTGCCCACGAACCAATGTGCATGTTGGGTCAAGCCCATGCTGTGCAATTAGAAGTCATGAACCAACATTGCCTCAATTGAGCCCATCGTGTGTTGCCATGCTCAGTCAGGTGATCTCATGCTACCTTAGTCCGCACCCATCCGACGAACCATTTACCCGCATCACCTTGATTTCATCTTATAATGTGCCTTAGTGAAAGGTGTCACCAAGACCCGTCATTATGCACTTAAGTTAGTTAGGGTGTGACAAGACACCCCAACCTGAAGTATCCAACAACCTCGTTAGAAGGATAGCATGGTACTGCTTAATAAGATCCTCAAATTGTCACAACGTCATCTCCTTCTTCCAAATGGCTTCTTCTGGTGTTTTCCCTTTCCATTTGACTAAGTAATGAGTCCTTCTATTTTTCTTATTCATTCCCTCAGTCATGTGGTCAAGGATAGATTCTACTATCTTTGTGAATTATTTCCTGATTGTTGGAGGAGCCCAACGCCGAACATATCTACTAGGGTTATCAACATTTGGCTTCAAGAAACACAACATGGAAAACCGGATGTAGCTTGAGACGACTGGGAAGATCTTGCCAATAGGGAAATTGGTCAATCCTTCTTGTGATAAGAAAATGACCGTCATAGCATTGGATCAATCCCTTATGTGTAGACTTCCAAGTGATCTTCTTCCAAATTGGTGGGGTAAGTTTGAGCATCACTTTGTCACCAACTTCAAACTCCACTGCCCTCCTTTTCTTATCTACCCATTTCTTCATCCTCTTCATTGCCTTCGTCAAACAGTCATTTGTCTCGTTGGTCCTCGCTTGATTGGCCCAAGCAAAACGATAAACATCTCTCTTGAGATTTTTGCATGGCCACTTCATGTGGAGTGAGAGACTGTTGACCAGTTTTCAACTCGAATGGACTCATCCCGGTGGAGGAACTTTGCTACAAGTTATAGCTGAATTGGGCGACATCAAGTAAATCTACCCAATTCTACAGGTTCGTTGTGACGTAATACCTGAGATATTCCTCCAACATTACATTTATCTGCTCAGTTTGCCTATCTGTCTGTGGATGATTGTTGGTGGAAAGATTGAATTGTGTGCCCAATAGCTCGAACAAGGCCATCTAAAATCGGCTAGTAAATCTAGTGTCTCTGTCACTGACAATATCCAACGAAAAACCCAAAAACTTCACAATATGCTTAAGGAATATCTGAGTTATAACTTTAGCATAACATATTTTTGGAGCAGCAATAAAGGTGGCATAGTTTGA